GGCTCACTCTAACAATGTCACATTGTTCCTCCTGAGAGGTCTGTCCTGTAACCCACCAGGGATATTTTTCTGGCAGGTCTTCCAAAATTAAACAAGAGGAAGAAAGGACCACAAGGTAGATCTCTAGACAACACTCCTGCCACTGCAGAGTTGGCCTGAGGACTGAGATACCGTATCTCCTAGCCTAGCCTGAGGAAAATGACTTCATTTGAAGTCTGAGCCTCATTTGAAAATGGTGATAATTCCTTCCTTGCAGGCAGGTGATTAAGTTTAAAAGGAATATAAAGAAAGTATGTAAGGCCAAGCCAGGCTGACTTGGGTTTAAGACCTGTCTTGTCATTCAGGGGTTATATAACTAAGAAGTAGGGGCTGAGGTTGAGTTGGGTGCTTGTTGTCATCCATCTATTCTGACATCTTGACCTCCATAATCTTCATATTATCTTTCTTGGGCCATCAAAACAAAGTTGTCACAGACAAGGCAGCTTAAGCAACAGAAATTAATTTTCTCATGGTTCTGGAGGCTGGAAGTCCAAAAACAGAGCATTGGCAGATTTGGTTCTCCTGGGGCTTCTCTTCTTGGCTCACAGACACTGTTTTCTCCCTGTGTCCTCATGTCATCTTTCCTCTGTGCACACTTGCCCCAGGTGTTTCCTTGTGTGTTTAAATTTCCTCTTCTTAATGTGGTACATATACACAATGGAATATTACTCAGCCATAAAGAAGAATGAAAGGATAGCATTTGCTGGCAAATGGATGAAACTGGAGGCTATCATGCTAAGTGAAATAAGCCAGTCCTAAAAAACCAAAGGCTGAATGTTCTCCCTGATATGCAGATGCTAACTTATAATAAGCAGGGAGGTGGGGAAGGGAAGAACAGAAATTCACTGGATTAGATAAAGGAGAATGAAGGAAAGGGAGGGGGGAAGAGAATGGGAAAGACAGTACAATCGGACATAACTTTCCTATGTTCATTTATGAATACACAACCAGTGTAACTGCGCCTCATGTACAACCACAAGAATGGGGAGTTGTCGTCCATGTGTGTATGATATGTCAAAATACATTCTACTGTCATATATAATTAAAAAGAACAAATAAAAAAATTTTAAAAACACACACAAAAAATTTCCTTTTCTTATCAGAATACCAGTTTAGATTAAGTTTCATACCAATGTCTCCAAACACAGTCACATTCTAAGTATTGGGGGGTTAGTGCTTCAATGTGTAAATTTGGGGGAGACACAGTTCGATCCTCTCTCCTCCAAAGAGCAGATGGCAACACCCAAAGTCATAATCTCATCAGGGACACAAAGCACGTCTCCCAGAATATCTCTAGTAGTTCCCCAGATCACTCAGAATAAAGCTGGAGTTCTCTGTTCTCTTAGAAAGGACTGTGACAGAATTGAACAGAGAAAAGGGGCATCTTGTCTTCACCTTTGTGATTCAGATATAGGGAGTTAGGGGAATAGAAAGAATTTACCTAAAAGATGTTGGGGAAGCACTTTCATGCTTAACTTCATTTAACTCCAAAAACACCCACGGGGCAAATATTCTACGGAGGTCCCGATGCAATGTACAAAAAGAAATGTATTTCTAAGTGCTTCTGAAGCCATGGTAACTTTGTGAGTCTCTGCAACAGAAAATACTACCACGTGGGGGTATCCAGGGAATGGTCCAACTGTCCATTTCTTGATTCCAGTAATGAGTCGTGGGCTCCCACTATGTACCAGGCACCGAGCCCACAGCAAGAAGAACAAAATGAATATCATCATTGACCTCCAGCTGTTTACTTGACAACTAGTATCTAAAAGGCATTCTGAGATGGTTTAGGATTTCTGATCCCAAACCCAATTTCTCATCTCAGTGTGTTCCTGGCGCTTCTCTTTCTCTCATGTCCAATCCTTCAGCAAATCCTCTGAACTCCACTGTCAAAACACACCAAGAAATGGGCCCCTTTTCCGCACCCCACCACCCACCCTGTCATCACTTCTCACCTGGGTTCCTGCGGTCACCTCCTCCCCTCCCTGGGTTCCCTTTTCTCAACCCATCAGCTTGGTGGGATGCTGACACAGGAGACCAGCTGGCATCCCTGCTCTGCCCGGAACTTTCTAGTAGTTCCCCAGATCACTCAATACAGCTGGAGTCCTCACGCTGAGGATGTCCTCAGGATGTGGCTTCTCCCTCTCTGACTCCTCCTCCTCTCTCTCTCCCTCACCCTCTGCTCCAGCCCTGCTGGCCTCCTCTGGGTTGCTCATGCAGCCCAGATAGCCCCAGGCGGGCTCCCCCTCCACCTCCAGGTCCACTTTTAACCATTTAACCTTCGACTTCTCGGGGAGAACTTCCCTGATGACCATCTTTTAAGTTTAATCAAAGAAAAACAAAACAAAGCCAAGCATGCTTTGTTTTATTTTAACCCACTAAGCCACTTTGTTGTTGTTATAATTGTCGGTGCTTTTTGGTTTATGGTGTCTTCCCCATTGATTCACATGTCAGCCCCACTGGGGCTGCGGATTTTTTTTCCTTTTTAGTTTTAAAGCTGTATCCCCAGTGTTTAGAAGAGTGACTGGACAGACAGTAGGTGGTTGGTTGGAAATTTTGAATGAATATGCAATTACATATAGTGGTCAAAAGAGAGAAATAGGAGCCTTATAATAATGCATAACTGGGGCTTCTGACTTACACCAATTTTCTTTCCCAAGTTAACCTAGAGCTCACCAAGGGGCAGGAGTGAGAGTTCTAGCAGGGGGACACGACATGGGCAAAGACTAGCGGGTGTAACCTCTTAAAGGTCCATAGCCCTTCCCCTGAGACGAAACACTTAATATATGGGTCTTCTGGGGACACTTATCTAAACCATAGCTAATGAATATCCCCCCAAATTGAAAACTGGAACTCAAATACATGTGCACACACATTTTAGCAGTACAATTAACAATAGCCAAAAGATGGAAAAAGCCTGATTATTTTGTTTATCAACAGCTGAATGGATAATTGTGAGATGCATACCTCTGTCTGCTTATCTGCACACACACACACACACACACATACATAGTGGAATATTATTCAAACATAAAAAAGAATGAAGTCCTGATACATGCTATAGCATGGATGAACCTCAAAGTCATGCTCAGGCTATTTTGAGATTAATGCTATGGCTATCAATAGCTCATTCCTATGTATATCTCTATAGTATCTTCTTGTAAGAAACACATGGTTTCCCAGTTTGGAGGTATTACAAATAAATCTACTATGTACATTATGTTTAGGTCTTCATGTGGACATATGCTTTTACTTACTAGGGGAAATATCTGCAAAACATCTCTCCAACAAAGGACTTGTAACTGAAATGCTTATAACTCAGCAATAAGAAGATTACAATAAGAAATGGGCAAAAGATTTGAACAAACACTTCACTGAGAAGATATTGGATGGCAAATAAGTAGAAAAAGATGGTCAACATCATGGGCTGTTAGAAAAATACAGAATGCAAACACAAATAGATGCCACTACTATTAAAATGGCTAAATCAACAAGGTGGCTATATGAACTGTTAGCAAAGACGAGGAGGAACGTGAACCCACACTCTGCTGGCAGGAATGTAAAATGGAATAACCACTTTGGAAAACCATCTGGCGGCTACTTTAAAATTCAAACCATGCCACTTGGCAGCTTTATTCCATTGCTACATCAATCTTATTAAGGGAAAATCAGGTGGAATTATCTTGGAAGGTGTTTGCCTGACAAATAGACCTTATTGATGAAGGATAGGTAGGGTAGTGACACTTTCAAGTCAATCTGCTGTGGTTACCGTCCCCAGGTGGCTCTCAGCAAACATGGCTCTATCCATGGTGCTAAGTTCCCTCTCTTTACTGACACGAAGATGGCAGTCCTGGCACTACCAGCATTAAACTTTACCTCTTTCTTCTTCTTTTTCCTGTATGGTGAAAAGATTATAAATCATGTCTCTTCAGGTCTGATGGTGAACGCCTATAATTCCAGCGGCTTTGGAGGCTGAGACAGGAGGATTGCAAGTATGAGACAAGCCTCAGCAATGTAGTGAGACTTTGTCTCAAAATTAACTGGAACTCAAATACGTGTGCACACACATTTTAGCAGTCCAATTAACAATAGCCAAATAAGGGTTGGAGATGTAGCTCAATGGTAGAGTCCCCCTGGGTTCAATCTCCAGTATCAATAAAATAACATAAAATAAAATAAAACATGCTTCATTTTACTTGGGAGAAGATTGAAGGTTAAAAAGAGGAAATAAATTCTTACACACTTAAGGGATTTTTTTCCCCCCAAATGGAGCTCCAGTTCCAAGGTTTTGGTGTTTTAATGTCAGAGGTTAATCTAATCTCCAGTGTGACTGCATTCAAGAGTATTGGCATATGGCAATGCCGGTTTCATCTTTCGTTCCTTTTCTTGATGGGGGTGGGTACTGGGGATTGAACACAGGGTGCTTAACCACCGAGTCACGATCCTGGCCCTTTTAATTTTTTATTTTGAGACAGGGTCTCACTAAATTGCTTAGGGCCTCGCTAGGTTGCTGAGGCTAGCTTTGAACTCACGATCCTCCTGCCTCGGCCTCTGGAGCCACTAGGATTACAGGCCTGCACCACCGCACCCAGCTCATGTTTCATTCTTATTCGTCTCCACATCTTTGGTGAGTGTCTTAAGGCCTGGAAAGATGGCATGACTTTTCATTAAATGATCTAGACTCCTGCTCTTTGTAATACAAAATCCTGTCACCTGAATACAAATCTGTTTGCCAAGTCAATAATTGTGTTTACTGGAGAACACTGGGTGCCTTGGAAATGAATCGTTTGGACGACTTGCGTATCTTTGGTGGTGAGCGGTGGTTGGCAGGAAAGACAGATTGCAGGCCGTGTTGAAGGGCTGGGTTCCTGCCTGTGGCCACTATTTCCTGGTTTTGTAATCCAAGTTTTTACTTCTCCTTTCCAGGGTTCAGCTTCTCAGTCCCTGAAGTGCGTCAACAGAACCAGTTCTGAGAATGAGCCCCCCAGGTGGAAGGGCCGCAGTGATCATGGGGAGGAGTGGACCACAGTGTTGTGTGATTTGCTTTGATAAAGGAAGGTCTTCTGGAAGTCATGTGGACGTGATGCGTGCAAGGAGGTAGATAAATCTTGTGGTGGGAAATAGGATGTCCACAGTCTCAATGGTTCACCCAGAGTGCTTGCTTAGCTAGCTGAGAATTCAACTAACAGGCCTTAAGGGCTTCCTGATGGGACACATGGGTGACACAGAATATTACCAAAAACAATTAAAATGACTCTAATCATACAGAAACCATCAGACAGGTCCATATTGGGTAAGATGCCACAGTACAGTGGCGATTAAGATGACTACAGAGAGGGTTTGATCCTGGAATATCTCTCTGATGGGAAAGTAACGACACTGTGAAGGATGTTATTGGGGTAACAGAGGATAATTGAAAAATGGTTTATTTATTAGACACAATATAGTAGTAATGTACACTGCTTGGGTATGATAATGGTCGTGTGGTTAGATAGAACAAATCATTATTACTATTACTATTATTATTTGGTACCTGGTATTAAACCCAGGGGCACTTAACCACTGAGCCACATCCCCAGTCCACCTTTATATTTTATTTAGAGACAGGGTCTCGCTGAGTTGCTCAGGGAGTTGCTAAGTTGCTGAGGCTGTCTTTGAACTCATGATTCTCTTGCCTCAGCCTCCCATACAGTTGGTATTATAGGCTTGCGCCACTGCACCTGGCTAAAGTCATTATTGGTAAAGAGGTTCTTGCTGAAGCACTTAGTGGTGAAAGTCACAAGGTCTAAAATTTATTTAAAACATTTTTTTTTAGTTGTAGTTGGACACAATACTTTTTTTATTTTATCTATTTATTTTTATGTGGTTCTGAGGATTGAACCCAGCGCTTCACACGTGCTAGGAGAGCACTCCACTGCTGAGCCACAACCCCAGCCCAAATTTTTAATTTTTTTTTTATTTTAAAAATAAATTTTAGGGTCTGGGATTGTGGCTCAGCAGTAGAGCGCTTACCTCGAACATATGAGGCACTGGGTTTGATACTTAGCACTATATAAAAATAAAGATTAAAAAAAAATAAAATTTTGTGTTGTAGGTATATAAACAGTAAAATGTTAATGGTCGGTGAATCTAGGTGAAGAGCATATACCTGATCATTGTTGTCTGTTTAGTGGCGCTGGGGCTTGAACCCAGGACCTCATATATGCTAGGCAGGTGCTGTACCGCTGAGCCACACCCCCAGCCCTCTGGTCATTATTCTATCCTTGCAATTTTTCAATAGGTCTGAAAACTTTCAAAATAAGATTAGAGAACAAAAAAAGAAATAGAGAACACTTGGGCAGCTTTGGAGCCAGGTGAGATCGGAGGTTTCCGTCATTATGGTGCATGGAGCAAGCCCTGTGTGGGGCTGCGCTCAGGAATGACAGATGGGGAGACCGCTGGGGAAAGACAGCCACGTTGCAGGTGATCAGGCAGGGGCAGAGGGAGGGGCTGGAGCTGGGGAAACCCACGGGGGAAATACTTCTTTCTCGCATCACTGAGCAAGTCTCAAAGGAGTAAAAATGTGTTTTCTGGAAGGTTTATCACCATGAAAGAAGTATTTATACTTCACAGTGTGGTATTTGTCTCCATGGAGGATGCCCCACCCAAGTGCTTAAAGATCTGGCTTAACCCTCCATTGGTAAATATCCAGAGAAAGTCCTGTCATGATCTGGGCTTCTTGTAACCCATGAACCCATCATCCAGGCGAAAAGGAGAAAGAAAGCAGAATGAGTTCGCTGAACTGTGGTCTGAGGGGCCCAGGATTGATTATTCTAGATTGGCCACAGCTTGATTTAGAAGACTTGGAGAAGGCCCTTTCCTTCGCTCTTCCATAAGACAAGAAAGATTTGTAATTGTTGCATCTAACAGCAACCCACCCAAAAAAGTAACAAAACAAACAAAAACAAACCCAGGAGTGGCAGTGCTGCAGATGAACTCCTTAGATCTCTTTATGCCACTGTATGGCACTGACAGTAAATGACAGTGTTTGTCATTGTTAGTATATATGCTCTTATTATGAAGTAGGGATTCATAGAAATCCACTGACACCCCCCAATCCCACATGGTGTAGCGGTCAAGAACTGGTTCCTGGGATCGCACCTGTGTCCAGCACTGGAGTGGATATGTTATCTCTCATCTAGATTCCCTTGGCCAGCTGACGTCAGCTAATGATGTCTCATCGTTTCCCTTTCTCTGGAGAACGATTTTTTTTAAAAGAATTCTCTTTAACTGTAGTTGGACATAGTAACTTTATTTATTTTTGTGTAGTGCTGAAGATTGAACCCAGTGCCTCACACGTGCTAGGCAAGCTCTGCCACAGAGCCACAACCCCAACCCTGGAGAATGATTCTTGCCCAGTGAAAGCCCCTGACCAAGCAGGCTACACACCTCTTATGCTCTCAGCTCAGGGGAAGGCCTCAGTCAAGGACTGGTTGGAATGGGAAAGCAAATGGTAGCCTGCTTCATGGGGGTCCACTTTGTGGTGCAATGTGTGGAGTCTAACCCCGGTGAGTCTCTGGGCAAGATGCAGCCTTTCTCTGTCTTTCTCCCCTCCTCTCCCCTCCTGCTTTCCTCACTCTTCTCCTCACACCTATCCCTCAATAAAACACTTGAGACAGAATCCCTGACTTGGGCTCTGCTTCTAGGATACCCAACCCAAGAAAAATATTTCCTAACAGTGGAGATTAGACACCCTAGCTGCTGTAACATAGTAGATGTTTGATTTTAACTTGCATGGCGTCCACTTGGCAGAGTACTGGGGGAAGGTGTTCTCTGCTTTCCTCAGACTTACACCGACTGAGGCAGGGGGAGGAGCTGTTGCCTCTGTGTGTGCATCCAGGATGGCCCTGATGTCAACGTCTAGCTGATAAATGGTGGAAAGAGAAGGTATTCCCGCTTCTCAATCATTCGGATTCAGCCATAACAGAAGTAATTTCTGCCCGTGGTGGACACTAGTCACATGGTCCACCTCGAGGCAAGGGGAACTGGGACCCTGTCTGGATGGTCACCCCTTAGCAATGTCTCAATACCCTAGAAGGGGAGCGAGGATCTCTGCTGGGTAGTTATCTCTGCCACACTGCATGGCCTTGGGTCAATTATTTATCTTCTGTAGGAATCTGTTTCTGTACCTATAAAATTGAGCCATTAATAGGGTCTCCCTTGAAGTTGTGGTCTATGATCACATAACTGCTTAGGCTGGGCCCTGGAACAAAATAAGGACCCATTCATTGTGTTAACTATCTTACCATTTGTGGAGAACCGACTTGGTTTATATATAGATCTTAATCCTTATCACAACCCATCAGTGCAGATGACCATGGCACCTACTTTATGGAAGAGAACCACGAAGTTTGGACAAGTCAATGACCCAAGGCCACATGATCAAAGGCAACTGAGAAGAGCCCATAGTAAGAAGTTTTAGAGACCAAGGGTGGACAGACGTGGAGTTAAACAGCTCCACCCCAGCTTTTGCCTTTGCCCCTTGAGATAGGCAAGATTCCCAAGAAGGCTGGTTGATATCCTGGCTCAGGCCTGCAGCTCCAGGCCCCGCCAGCCTTTGGGTTCTCATTCCCATTGCTCTCACCCACGACGGTCCAGCCACCTGCTTTCTGTCTAATCCTTGTGAAGGCCAAGCTTGATCCCATCTTGGGCCCTTTGTACCTGCCCTTCCCCCTGCCTGGAATGCTTCCCCCGCATGTCTTTCCATGCCTGGCTCTTGCTTTTCATTCTTTTTCCCAACTCAAACATCAATCACCTCCTCAGGAAGACCCTCCCTGGAGCAGTCAGCTCAGTCACTTTCATGTCCCCTGGTTTTCACTCTTTACCTAGCACCCAGAACCACCTAGTATTTTCCATGCCCAGGCATTTGTTTAGTGTCTGTCTCTCTTCCTGGGCTACAAGCTCAAAGAGAGCCATGGTCTCATTTGCCTTGACTTTCTGGTATCTCCAGCAACGAAGATGTTGCCTGGCACAAAGTCAAACCTCAGCCCATATTTAGTGATTCATGCAAGACGTTTTCTTGAGTACCTCTGACCCCATTTGACACTTTGCCCACCCTTGCCTTCTCTCATCCTCCTGGGATACTGCTTTAGGCCATGCACAATTCCAGAAGACCCGATTCACACGGGAACAATGTGAATCCCTGACAGGGATCCTTGTGACAGCATGCAACTCGACCAAGGGGGTGATAGTGCCGTAGCCATCTTTCCTTTCTCATTCATTGATTCAGTCAGTAAATATTTGTGCAGCGTCCATGGTATGTAGGGGATGCAAACACAGCAGGAGAGGAGATAACGTGTCTCTGCCTGTGCAGCAAATGTGAAATTTGCAAACAGAAAAATAGAACGCATAGAGATGGCAAAAACAAATGTGGAGTTGCAAGTTACATATTCATTCCACTTTCTCCCCTGTTCCTGTTCTCGCCCTCTTCTGCCTCTCGGTTCCATTTCACAATATCTGCATAGAGCTTCTGCAGTCCCTGACTGAAGCCCTTACTCTCTCCTGTTTTGCTCCTACCTGGGGTGAAGGTTTGCATGGGCTTGCAAGAATAGATGGTTAAACAGGCAGAAGTTTGGGGATCAGGCTGTCAAACTTTTGGTAACAATATCAGATGTGGCAGGAGCAGCTGCACTGCAAAAATGGTCAACATTTGTGGATGTTGTCTTTCTGGAAAGTTGAATTTCTAGCATACCACCTCTCCCTTCTGTTTGTGGGGAAGAAGCTTTACAATGACAAGGAGTGTCTTAACTCTTCATAGACAGTCAGCCCTCCCATACCATCCCTTCCGTATCATACCATCTTCCATCTTCCATCTTCCACTCCTTCCCAGGTGGCAGGGAAATGAGGACTCCAGGGCCTCTGCTGTTCTGTGAAGGGAGATCAGAAGAGAAAGCCTAAATGTTATGAAAACAGGAATAAAAAGGAAAGCAAGCCAAGTGCGGTGGCGCACGCCTATAATCCCAGCATCTTGAGAGGCTGAGGCAGGAGGATCACAAGTTCAAAGCCAGCCTCAGCAACTTAGTGAGGCCTAAAGCAACTCAAGGAGACCCTCTCTCTAAATAAACTATTAAAATGGGATGGGGATGTGGCTCAGAGGTTAAGAGCCCCTGTGTTCAATCTCCAGTACCAAAATAAATAGATAAATAAATAAGCAAAATGGAAAGGAAAGAAAGAAGTAAGAGGGTAAACTGTGGGAGGCAAAGGCTGGGGCAGGGGACATGAGGACCTGCACACTGCACACTGCACAATGTCCTCACAGGCAGTTCAGCCATCCTGCCACCTGGGCTTAGAAGGTGGCCAGGCTGGGCTTAGAAGTGGGCCAGGGAGGAGTTGGAGCTGATTTCTTGGGTCTGAGGGAAGAGTAGCCACACAGATATCTGGGCCTTTAGAGGGTGGGGCCCAGGATCCATTTAGCAATGCCCTGCCCTCTCTGGCGTTTCCTGTGATACCTTAGGTAACATGAGATATATAAGGTCTGGACTTCTGGTTAAAGAGCATAAAGGGGATTTGCAACCACAGATTAGTAATGAGCTCCACATCACTGCTGGCCCTGCTGGGGGTCACCTTCTTGCTGCCCTGTGAGTGAAGACCCTATCCTGGAAGTAGATTTCCATGGAGGTCAACTAGGAAACTATTAAGATGGATTTGCTCCCCCCCTCCCAGGTGTGCACGCTTTGGACTGCCAGTGGGCGGCCATAGAGACTGTGTTGAACACCTCACAGATGCCCGTGGAGTGGACAAATGGCAAGAAAACCTGTGACTTCGGCGATGGTTGCCAAGACACGTTAATGCTCATAGAGAATGGTGAGAAGAGACCCTGAGTCCTCAGACCCATCCCTCCCAGTCAGCCCCGTCCCTTCCTTTCCGGTACCTCACCCACTTCGCCATGAACGACCTCTCTCTAGGATGCTGGAGTTATGAAGGCCACCTTCACCCACCTGCCCCTTTCTTTTCAGGACCCCAAGTGAACTTGGTGCTCACAAAGGGCTGCACTTCAGAAAAGGATCACGAGGTCCAAGTCACTGAGCACAGGACAGGCCCTGGGCTCTCTGTCATCTCCTACACTCATGTGTGCCGTCATAGAGACCTCTGCAATGACCTGTCCACCTCTGTCCCTCTCTGGTCCCTGCATACTGAAAAAGGTGTCGGGGGAGTTGGGAGCTCAGGAGGAGGAGAGGGAAGGGGCTGTCTGGAGCAAGGAGCACAGGGCTGAGGGCTGACCTCAGCACCCAGGGTGAAGCTGGTATTTGCAGACTCCCCTTTGCTGGATCCCTCCCTCGGATGCTAGGTTGACTTCTGAGTAAGAGTGGCTGTAACTTTGCACTGTCCTCACCTGGTGCTGAAAACAGTTTGGAGTGATGTCTTGCTTTTCCAAACTCTGGAATATTTTGTGACCAGGGCATCATGCCTTCCTTGGCTGGATGGTAGAACTTGTGGGTGAAGCTTCTGGTGCCTTCCAGGCACACCCCCACTTCCTTGAAAAAGTCTGTGTCTGAATCCAGTCCCAGGAGGCCCCTCACCTGCCTCAGTTAGGGCCCAGAGTCCCTCCTGTGCTCAGCCCAGGAGAGCCCCCATGCCCTCTGGTGCTGAGAGGAGCTGAGGAGGGCATGTTGGGGTGACTGAGCAGGTTGATTCTTGGGCTAGCACAGTGGGTGGAGGAAAGGCATCTGTCTTCTCAGTGCCCCTCATCTGTCTGTCCTGCCCCAACCCCACCAGTCCTAGGGACCCTGCAGTGCCCAGTCTGCTTTTCCAGATACAACTGTCCAGAGAAGGCTTCACAGCAGTTCTGCCCTGTGGGACAGACTCACTGCTACAATGGAGTCCTCAAGCTCAGGGGAGGTAAGCCTGGACATTGGGGTCCCTGCAGGGACCGACAGGGGAGGACTGGGGTGTGGGATCTGAGTCTCTGGGGAATAAGGGTAAGCTGAGGCAGGGTGGAGCACCCAGGAGAGGGTGGGGCTGAACTTCCCTCTGAGGGTTGGGTGACTCTGTGTCTCCCTCTCTTCTTCTCCCCTCAGGGGGAATTGCCACCAATCTGAAAGTACAGGGGTGCTTGCCCAAACCAGGCTGTGACCTGCTCAATGGGACCCAGAAAATTGGCCCCATTGCTGTGAGTGAGAACTGCAATCCTAAGTCAGGTGAGTCTCCCATGGATACCAAGGCTGTGCCCTGTGCTGTAGCCTTGGGGCAAAGTGATCCCTATACAAAATGGGACAGGCAAAGGCATCACAGAAAAGCCCAGGTAATTTAGGTGTTGATCACTCCCCATGAGCAAGGGTGAGGGGACTGTCCAGGCTGGAGGTCCTTTGATAGAAGGAGGAATGATAGCAAGAAGTGTTCAGCTGAAGGAGAGAGAGAGGGCGTCTGCCCTAGAAAACAGGATCCCATTGATGGGAGCTTTGAATGACGCTGGGCCAAGGAGGTCAGGGTGGCCCTTTCAGGTGGGAGGAGATGGGATGGGGAAGGAGGTGCAGGGTGGCTCTGCCTGTGAATGTGTGCAGCAGCCAGTGCAGAACCACCTGCTGGTTGTGGTGCTGGGAGGGACTGGTTGTTCCCAGTTCTGTTTCCTGCCCCCTACCTTGGGTAGTCCTGGCTCTCCCACTCCCCGTGGTCATCTCCATGCACCCTCAGCCAGCCCCAGCCAAGGAACTGCAGCTCTGCAGTCGTCTTGCTGCACAGGAAAGAAAATCAGAGAGAAACCTGAGGCTGCTTTGGGTGTGACAGGGAAGGAAGTGCTAAACGGGGACACTGGGAGAGTCCCCACTTACCCACTTAGATGCAGCCAGACTGGTGACACCTGACAGGTGGAGAGGATGGTGGAGTGGCTCGGGAAGAAGAGTAGGAGGGCAAAAGGAAGTCGTGGTGGGGACAGGAGGTGGGACGGGAGTCTGGCTTCCCTGGGCGCATGGTGTTCCCTGTCACCTCCCCAGGTCACGGAACCCTTAGATCTTCAAGGAGAGAGCTGAGTGTGTCCAGAGAACTTTGCTCTGTGTTTCAATCAGTCTCTCTGACTAGACTGGGAGCCTTGTGGACACGGGCTGGCTGTCACTGACACCAAGTTTCCAGCTTGGCTCAGCATAAGAGCTGGCTCAGGGCAGGAGCTCGGGATCTATAGGCTGAAATGAGGTCACAAAGGATTCCATGGTTTTCTGTGGTATCCTTAGATAAGCCAGACTCTGGACCTGCCTAGAAGGCTTCTGGACATGGGTGGCAGAACACCTCACTTGGGTTGATCAGAGCTGGGGCAGAGGAGAATATGAGGAGAGGAAGATAAGAATGACCTCGTGGTGGTGGTATCAAAGAGGGCTTCCCAAAAGAGGTGACTTTCAAGCTGAGCTGTGTCTTAATGATGAGCTGCAGTTTCTCAGTAGAAGAGGAAAAGCTATTGACAGGGGCCTGTAAGTGGATCCAGGAGGCAGCTACTTCCTTCAAGAAGGTTTCCTCTCCTGTGTCTGAGAGGGACTCAACAGGAGGATGGGGTGCAAACGAGATGGGTGTAGAGGATGAGAGAGAGCTATCACAAGCAGAAGAGGCCAGCAAGGGTTAAGCCCAGGGGTCAGGTGGGAATGGATACTGGTAGGAAGCTGGGAGGTAGGAGGTAGAGGGTTGATCAAGCACTTGCGAGCCAGGCTTGAAGTGGGGGACTCTCTGGAGAGTGGGGAGCTATGGAAGGCTGTCTAGGAAGAAGGGACAGAGTCTGAGCCAGTTTTCTTTCCTTTTGATTAAGGTTGGTTTTAATGGTCTGGTCCTCGTCTCTGGGACTAAGTCACATTCATAATCTAGAAGGTATTTAGCAACACATAGACCCTCAACACCCAAAGCAGAGAAACACAGAACACACAGCATGCCAAGCATGCAAACCCAACGCCTACCACAGAGTATGTCACGTGCATCAGTACATCCCCCTCTCACGCAAGCACCCCTCACAGCCCACACATGGTACTCACGCGAGTGTATACACAAACCACAAGCCATGTGCCGGGTAAGATGGAGCTGTAATGCTACAAATAAATATTCTTCATATACACCCATATTCTGTCAGCTTTCAACACTGGAGTCAAATCTTAGAGGATGCTTTTCTTCCGTGGTTAAGTTCAATTCCATTTAGCAAATATTTATTGAGCATCTGCCAAATCAGGTGTCAGAAGCTAGATGTACAAGATGTCAGGGAAAAAGTGAAAGGAGAAGGACAGTTCAGGGTGACAGAACAGTCCATGCAGAGGCACAGGGGTGAGACAGGGTGGGGGGCCAGAGTATAGATTGCCCAATATGGGCCATGGCAGCAGCATGTTTTGAAGGTAAATCCAGGATCTTGGACCATGTAAGCCCTTGTCTGCCCTCCTAAGGAACTGGGCAGTGGTCCCAGGGAGAGAAGGTTAAGAGCCTAATGTCTGAATCGGAGAGATGTGGGTTCCAGTCCCCCCTCTTGCCAGTGAACCAGTTTTTGAGTATCAATACCATTTGAGTGTCAAAAGTCCCTGAAATGCTCTCCTCCTTTCCATTTGCTCCCTGACATTTTGTTGTACCCGGGCCTAGAGGACCATGTGAGTGGGGCGGTATGGAGAGTAGAGCAGCCATGTGAATGGAGGGGTAGGGCGAGGCCAGGTCAGGTAGGACCTCAAGGGTCATTTTCAGGACTCAGAATTCTGAGTGGGGAGAGGGACCTACTGGAGTCTTCTGTGCAGAAGAGTGACATGGTTGACTTTCCTTTAATAAGATCCCTCTGGCTGTCAGGTAGAGAACAGGGTGGGGGAGTAGAGGTGGTACACATGGCGGCCCATGAGGAGGCAGGAGAGTCATGGGGTCATGGGCCTGGCTGGACACAGCAGAGGTGGTCAGGTTCTGGAGACATCTGCAGGATTTCCTTATGGATGCAACATGGGGTGTGAGACAAAGAATGACCAAGAATGACCGCAAGGTTTCAGCTTAAGCAATTAGAGGAAAGCAACTGCCATTGACCGAGATGGGGAACTTTGTTGGGGAGGGGAGCAGAGAGAATGAGGATATGACTTGGAGGAAGAGGGCAGCCGGACTTGCAATTTTGTCACCTGTGAAATGGGGAAACGGACAGCTCTCCATCACGGGACAGTTGTGAAGGTTACACGTGTTCGCACATGCTGAGCCCGAGGACCATGAGCTTCTGTGTCCTGAGACACTGCTGATCACGAATGAACTGATGATAGGGCCCAAGCTCATAGTTGTCAAACTAGACTCCTGGGGGCCACTGAAGTCAAGATAGATACCTGTCGTCCCCATCACCCACTCCAACCCTGACCATAAGGAACCAGAAAGCCTGAGTTCCTAGCCCAGCTCTGCCACTTACTGGCTATGTGACATCGGGTGAGATATTCACTAAATCTCTGGCCTCTTTTCCTGTCTTGAAAACAGAGGTGATGATGATGATGATGATGATGATGATGATGATAATGTCACTGACTTTGGGGGTTGCAGTGAAGAAAGGAGACAATCAAGCCAAAGGTGAAGATGAAATGAGTTAATTCATAGAAAGCAATTATAGCGGCCAGGCACTAAGCAAGGGCTCAGTTCACACTAGGCATTTGAATGTTTTTGCTTGGAACATAGGATTTCTCAGTTTAAAAGGGGGTGTAGCTCAGAGATAGAGTACTTGCCTAAGCATGCATAAGGCCCTGGGTTCTAGGCGCAGTACCATTTTTTTTTTTCTTTTTTGCAATGGCACACACTTATAATCCCAGTGATTTAGGAGGCTGAGGCAGGAAGATTGCAAATTCAAGGTCAACCTTGGCAATTTAGGGAGACTCTGACTCAAAATTTTAAAAATTTAAAGGACTGGGAATGTAACTCAGTGGTAAAGCACCCCTGAGTTTAATCCCCAGGATTGCAAAAAAAAAAAAAAAAAAAAGAAAGAAAAAGAAAAAAAAAAAAGAAATATATGGTCTCAAGCTACTTTCCTCATTGTCCAAATGAGGACTTTGAAGCCTAGTCAGGGAAGTAGAGAGAGGCTGAGGATAAGAACCAGCCATCTATAGCTTTCACATCCAAAGGAGAAGAGACACCTTCCTCCAAGGGTCACAAGAGGAGGGTTCCTACAGGTGTCCCCCAGGTAATGGGGTCAGGAGGCTTAGATTTCCAGGTGCATTCTAAGCCTGAAATTGAGGGATTCCATATCCAGGTCAGCCATAGTGTGATTCCAAATATGATCACCTTTCAGAATATGGGACCTGGAGGAACGGACAGGGTGGGTTCCCTGGCTCATGCAAACCCTGGTGATTTTCTGTCCCCAGATACTCTGACCTGTAACCGGGGGGTCATGTTGCAGATGGGGAGAAAGTTGGCTCAAGACCCCGTTGAATGGACCTCATCCACGAACCAGATGTGTGATCCTGAGGAGGTGTGTCAGGAGACACTGATGCTCATAGACGTAGGTGCGTGGGCTGAGCAAGACAGGGCCAAGTCCCTGCACTATGGCCAGTGCCTGCCCACCTTGCACTCCGTCCCCTGAATGTCCTGCCCACTTCCACTCACATCTAGAGATCTCAGTCCAGCATTCTGCTCTTGGTTTCCCCTGATGAAAACTGGGGGCCAAGTTATGATAAGTATAGTGCCTACCTTTCTGGGTAGCCATGAGGATACGGTGGCCTCCATGCAGAGGACCGAGCACAGCGCTGGCACAGAGGCACCTCAATGACTTCATTCATTGGAAAAATGAATATTGAGCACCTGTGTTAGGTACTGCAGAGCCATTGATCGCAACTGCCTTGATTGCAGTTTTTACCCTAGTGGGGAAATGAAAAGAAAAACAGACAAAAAAGAGCAAATTATGGGTGTGAAGACAAGAGCCCTGGAGAGAAACCCAGCAGGAAGAAAGGAGATACGGAAAGTGAGACGAAGGTTGCAATTACAGGTGCTCAGGGCAGGCTTTATGGAGAAGGTGACTGTAGCAGGTGACATTTGAACAACACCTGGGAGGTGGCAGAACATGAGGGAGAACCCAGTTTCTGGCCCCAGTCTTTGCTGGACACTAGGATGACCTGTACTATGATAACCCAGGATTGTGTTCACCCTCTGCCTGGGGAGCACCGTGAAGCCAGGGTTGCTGCCCGTCCTCTCCCCAGCCCAGCTCTCACTCTCTTACCTCCTCAGGACACAGATCTCTCCTAATGGGGAGCAAAGGCTGCAGCAAGGCTGGGGCACAGAACTCTCAGGCTGTCTCCTTACACTCCCGGCCGCCTGGAGTGCTGGTTGCCTCCTATGTCCGGGTCTGCTCCTCTGACCTGTGCAACAATGCTGGCAGCAGCAGTGTCCTGCTGACCTCCCTTCCTAAGCCAGGTATGGCATCCTTGAGTGACCCAGATACTCCATGCTCCAGCAGGTGGCTGCAGGTGGGAGCAGAGCTGTGCCCGTGCAAACTTGTCTCTGCTCCCCAGCTGCTCCTGCCCCAGGAGGCCTGCAGTGTCCTGCCTGTGTACAGTTTCTTGGATCCTGCTCACAAAGCTCCAACTTAGTTACCTGCCCTAGTGGTGTCACTCATTGTTATGATGGTAACATTGCTGTCAACGGAGGTGAGTACTGAACGCTGAGTTCCAAAGATAAAGGGAATGAAGACTCAGACCCCTGAGTCTGAGGGAGGAGGGCTGGGGCCTGGACTCCTGGGACTTTACATGTGGTGCATTGTGTATCTCCTGACTGGGTCTTTACCCTCCAGGTGGGTTGTCCACCACACTGAGCATTCAAGGTTGCATGGCCCCAGCTTCCAAATACTTGCTGAACCACACACGGAATGTTGGGATCTTCTCTGTACGTGAGAACTTTGAAGATGATAACAAGGAGCAAAGCCGTGTATCCCAAAGTGGAGTAGCCCGGGCCACATACCTGCTCTGGGTGATGGGGATGGGGCTATTCCTAGCCCTTTGGAATGGGGGACTTTACCCTCTCTGCTAAATCCATCTCCCCATGATTCTTAACCTTTCCTGTCACCTAAACCCAACAATTGACCTCACAATCTAATGGCCTTGGACACTGAATTATTTTCCCATCCTCACTCTGTCTCCTGGTAATAACATGGTGGGTGGGGCAGGGAGCAGCTGAACTTACCCTGTAGGAGAGGGGACATGCAAGTACTTGGCCACATGCATCTTATAATAAAGACACCCTGTCCTTTCTCCTAATACTGGTATTTCTCTATGTAAGGGGAGGGAAGGATATGGGACAGGGAAGGATATGGGACAGGGAAGGATATGGGGGAGGAATCACCATTCAAGCACATACTTCTTTGTTCTGGTTCATATCTTCATTCCAACTTGGGTGTTAGCAGAGCCTTCAGGGTGTCGCAGACCCAAGTATTAGGGCATCAACATGGCTTAAGGGGGGAAGGAGCACTCGAGCCATTGACACTTCTTCCTTGTCAGCCATGGTCCCAGTGCTCACCCATTTGAGTAATTGGAGAAGAAGTTGGTGATGGGATAATTGACATAAGAGGTTGAGAGAAGTTGACATCAAAAGGGGTTTCAGTTCCCCGGGGTTGTTACCATTGGGTCTTTGTTACCATCCTAGGCCTGAAAGGGTGAATAGGAGCCAATGCTGGAAAGAAAGAGGTACGGGGGAGGGTGGGCTCTCTAGCCCAGTGTTACTATAGGGGTGGAACTGGGGGATTAATATTTGAACCTCACCTAGTGTCCCCCCTCTGGTCTTTAGTTAGGGCTCCCCATTGGTTGAATTCAGCTGGAAGCCATAAGGCAGGAGATCCCATTGATGCCTAGATCTGCCACTCACAGTATAGAGTAGGAGAAAGAAGGGGAGGAAACAACGTGTCCATCACAGTCCACAACCTTCTCCCTCAACATCCACCCTTTTCCCTTCTCCAGATGAAAGTTGGAGTCCTCCATACTAGAAGACACACAATTCCCATGAGTCATTGTAACACTGTATGATACTGATAGTGAAGTCATCTTTCTACTGTTAGACCACCAGCACTTCATACACCATGGTGAGAGAGCGATGGGGAAGGAGATAACATAAAATAGCTGTTAAGGTCCTGAGTGTGTAGCTGGTGGCAATAAGAGCTTCCTTCTTCCACCACTCACTCCACATTCCCTTACCTCCTACCAACACCTTGTTTGAACAGTCTTTATTCATATGGGGAGTGAGTCTTGAATGGTTCTGTCTTTACTGAGTTTCTGCCCTTTTCCATGGAATCTGACCCTGGCCAAAGAAATATTCCCCCAATGTCTTGCCTGCCTTCCAGACAATCTCCTTGGCCCATCAACTCAACCTCCTTCTGGAAATCAGCTTTGTCACCCCGACTGGCAGAGCACCCCTATTTGCTTGTTGATTCAGCAGATGAGGAGCACACATGGCCTGGAAAGCTCATGGCTTCCTATTGATTAGAACTATGTGATTCTTTGACCACATCAGGCCAAGGTCACAGGGACAAGAAGCAAAATTCTTTCAGTAGGTTTTTAGATCCAATAATGGGAGGGACACTCCCTTATCCTTCCCTTATGTCTTGAACCCATGTATTTGGCCATGGAGGAAGAGGGACAGTATGCTGGCCATTAGTTTAACATGTGCAACATTTCCTGTTGGATTTCTGGCTATGATCTCTTACTTGGTGTCTTAATAAGCCATTCCAAGATTCTAATAAGCCAACTGTTGCTGCATAGTGGGGTGACTGGGAAAGAGAGTTCCAGGATGTGACTTTACCTCACCTCCTTTGCCTTAAGATACATCCTCTAGTCAGAAGTAATACTGCACGGGACACCAGAATTCTCTAAGTCCCTAAATGGCAGTGTCTGTAGAAGCACTGAGTAAAATACAGAGAGAGAAAACTGGAACCCACCGAATGTGTCCATTCCTGTGAGATAAAACACAGTCGTCTTAATGATGGTATGTCCTGTGTGATCAGCCTACCCCCAGAGGCCACAAAGTCCTGCTGTAGAATAATGCTATAACAGGGTCTTGACCTTGGCTTCTGTCTATGCTGGACTGGGCACCAGGGACAGTCAGCCAGGTCAGCCTTGAGGAGAGTTGGCCTATTTGTCATAACCACGTATGGATTCATCCCTGCCCACATGGTCATTTGCATGCACATGGACCTATTGAGCAAGCGCTGACACCGTCCACTCAACACTAAGTTACTCCTGCTCAGTAAATGGACTTTAGTGGGTGAATGTACGCAGCACATCCCAGAGGACTATTCACATAGCTCCCTGTCCCCATTTTATATTTCTATTATTTTCAATTCCTTGATCATGTGGCTCAACCTGGATCTATGCAGGAATGGAGCTAAGGCTTTCTTTCCCTCTACTAAGTGGACCCCTCCCTCAGGGCCACTTCTGAATGGGGAGTGAAGGCAGCACCATCGGCGTCTGCCTGGTGTTGGCTCACCGTGACAATCCATGCATTACTGGTATTCAATTTCCTTACTCTGTAAGGATGTCACAGAGGATTCCCATGAGCCCATAGATGTGGTGGAGGTAGAGGCAGAAGGAGCAGGTGCCATGGAAGTTTGAGCCACGTGCAAGGTATTCACCTGTGCCCTTGGACCTGCTTGAACCTGATCCCATAATACCTTTTCCATGGACGAAGGATGCTTCTCTGCAACCTAATATCAAGATTTAATAGCACAGACAGCACTTGGGACATGGGACATGATATGCAGTTCAAGTCACCATGCCCTTCGTGTCCTATGGTCAAGCATTCAGATTCCACAGGGGATAGTTATCTGCAGAAGGAAACATGTCTTTGATCCAGAACTTTGAGGTTCGGCATTATGATTATCCCCTTTTCTCATAATGTCCTAGAAACTTTTAATAACATTGAGTTTGTTGGTCACTTACCCTGAGGTTCAAAGCAGCTGGGTTTCCAGCCTGGACCTTCTGCAAATCATCAAAACTGGCAGTCTTATGTGTCCTCGGACAAATGTGTAAGAGGACTATATCAAAATGTGCTTTATGTCTTCCACCCCCTCCCCAAATTGTAAGGGATGTGTGTCTTTTTTCATGGCAGCAGCACCAGGAACAGCAAATTATCTCCCAGGTTGGAAGCTACATTGGGACACATCCCAGACCTATAGGAATTGCACCAGTAGAAGGAAGGAGAGGCTGGATATTTGCAGTTTATCTCCTGCCCTGTGGCTCATTTGTGTCTTGTTCACTGTGTCCAATGAAATTAACATCATGTCATGAATGAAATAAATTAGTATGATCCATAAAAAAAGCAGGGGATCAAGGTCCCTTTGGACCATGAGAGAGAATACGAGAGCTAATAAAATCACAAGGCCACAAAGTTAGGGTGAGTGCTTGTACCTGAAATATGAATGGAAATCCTTCTGATTATCTCTGCCAACAAATGCAGAAAAGTCCCACTGGTAGATCTTTAAGGAGCCACAGCCAGACCTGCTGCTGCAGCTACCATTGCTACCTTCATTTGCCACAACCTGTCATCACCCTCCTGATCCTTTTGCAGTGACCAAATAGGCATGCTAAATGCTTTACTGTTGCCATAAGTCTCAGGAATTCCCCATGGGATGCATTATTGTTTCTAATATATTGTTTTGGCAGGGCTGATGGTGGCAGTGGATTTTTCTACCATAGTGGCTTTCACTGCATGAATCAGGAAGACTCATAGGGGATTTTCCAAGTTACGTATACAATGATACATTCTGAGACAACCTGAATCACAGAGAATGGGTTGATCTATCCCCTGGCATGGTTCATGGTGTATCCATGTTTACAAATAATTCCTTGGACCCTCCCTTTGATCAGTGTCCTACTCTCCCAGTCAAATGGCCCCAGGTCCCTCTGTGTGGGGGATGTTTCACTATTGACACCCTTCGCCTCATTTCAGGGTCCTTCTCAGACAGACTCAGCCTCTTTTCACTCATTGGAGTCTGGAGACTAAGTCTGGAGACTAAGAGGTCATTGTGGTGACTCATTGTTAGATTTCTCCACATGAGAGCAAGAAAATTTCCAACTTATCAAGTATCACCTTCATTGACAGAAAAAGTCATTTAGCTTCACCTTAGACCCCTGCCTGTGAATCCACTCTGATGGCCTTTTCACCCTGTGCATCAGGGCACCTTGTCTCTGAATGGTTAGTGTCACTGCTTGGCCACTCCAAGATCTCTTTTTTTTTTCCCCCACTGAGATCAGTGAACCCAACCCCATTACATCATTTCCCATAAGCATCTTCTGCCTCAGAGGTGAGTCACCATTTGTGGAGTCTCTGCCTCATGGCTGTATTTCCTGTGCAAAGATGCAGGTCAAGATTGCCCAGTTGCTATAGTGACGCCTGGCCTGAGAAGGCTGTGTGCAAAGGCACGGAGCTATCTCAGTCTGGACCTTGAACTCAGGCACCAGCTGCTGGAGATAGAGAATTCTGGGCATGATAAGATAACTGCAATGTCTCACAAGTGCCATGACCTGCAAGTCCATCTGCTTTGCAGAAACTTTCCCACAAATAACATTTTGATGATAAAACCTACCTAAGAAACGTGTGGTAATAGCTCTGGGTCACTGTTCCTCCATCAGAGGATGGTGTCCCACCAGGTCCCAGATTTCTCCCTGTAAGTGTTTTTGTTTCTTTCTTAATCCCCCATCTACCCTTGCTGGTTTCCAAGGTTCGGGCCATGCCTGTCACGCCAACCGCAGAGCTCTTGAGATCCCCTTCTCCATGTATCTCTTAATCCCCCGCTAGAGGCTGTGGTGAGTTGCAGATACAGGAATCTGTAGGCAGTCAGCTGTTCCATTCATTCCATCTTTTCAAGCTTGGAACTCTCTCTCTCTCCAGAATGCAAGAGAAGTCCCAGCATTGACTCCAGGTATTAATTTACTACCCTAGCAGATTAGGAATGACATTCCCAAGTGCTTGAGCCAACACCTCAAATCCCAAATCCCATGTGAAAGAATTTGGCTCTATCAAGTCTCCTTCTTCATTAGATTTGTTCTTACACTCATAGAATCCATATCTGCCAGGGTCCAGGTGGAAATCAGGCACCACACACTAATCTCAACATGGAAAGCTTATAAAGAATCATTAATTAGTAGAGGGGATTAGCTACTAAAGGGTAAAGAGAATTCAAAAGAAAAGAGGCACATTTTTTAAGAATCAGATGGCTGTGTGGTTTTTGTCTCTGTACCTTCTCTTCTATTCCATTGGTCTATATGTG